GCAAAGGTATAATAGTTCATGTGTTTTTCTGACTGATAAAAAAGAAAAAACCCTCATCTTGTTTTATGTTATTTAAAATGTAAGTGCTTATTTTTTCAATTCTCACGGCAGACCAGTATTCCTGCAGTGGTCTGCTAATAAGCTCACTAGTGAGTTCTGCTGAAACTCACTTCTGTTTGAACCTGCCCTTGATGCAGAGCTGTCAGATGGAGCATGTTTATCAGGCAGATAATGATGTTTGCAGTGCAGAATGTGTAGTCTGTGGGCACACAAGTAAGCGCACATGTGAGTATGCACATGTAACAGTGTTGCTGTAGAGTGATTGTCTAAAGGAAATAAGAAATGGAAAGAAGGAAGAGAAAGAGAAAGAAAAGAAAGAGAGAAAGAAAGAGAGAGAGAAAGAAAGAGAAAGAGAGAATGAGAAAGAGAAAAAGAGAGAAAGAAAGAAAGAGAGAAAGAGAGAAAGAAGGAAAGAGAGAAAGAAAGACTGTTTTTTATAAGACCACTTTTATAAGACCACTGAGTGTAGTGGATGAGCTTTCTGGCCAGGCTTTTTTTTTTTTTTTTTTTTCCCTAGACCTGTGAACTGGCCAGAATTTGGAAACTGTTGTTTTAAAAACATACTTTTTTTGATGCATCAGGTTTGTCAAATTAAGTAGCTCAAGAAATTCCCTCCCTCTCTTCATCCGCTTTCTCATTTCTGCTTCCATTTTGCAGTTGTTACTCCAGTAGCCTCTTGATGCTACTGTTTGTGGGGCACAGTCCCAAAAACTTCCTTGGCAAAGGAGGCATGGAGTAAGCTGTGCTGCAAGGCCTGAAGCAAAGAGCAGCTCAGGTCCCTGTGCTGCCAGATGAATGTTGGTGTAGCTGCCCCACTCGCCACGTCTGAGCGGGTTGTGTGCAGTGCCCAGCAGAACAGTGAGTCTTGGTTCTGAGCTGGCTCTGAGGCTGTGGAAGGGACATGGCAGCCTAGTCCTTTTGGATACTCTTGGGACATTCTGAGAGTAAAAAATTATGCTACAGGAAAATGTTGCTACATCTTTCCAGTATCAAATAGGCATAGTCTGTGTTAGCTCTTATTTATGCAGTCCTATACAGGCATCTCTTTACACCACATTTGATTGTGTACGTGCCACTTAGTCAAGATTTGGCTACCTTGGCCTTCTAAGAAGCAAATAGTAAACACTCTAAGATGCTGTGTGATTTAAACTAAACTGAAAATCTCTTCCTTCTTTTGTTTCACATAAGCAAAAATTCACGTTTTACTAGGTGAAATACAGCACCCATGTGAAAAGCCAGCTCTGTAACAGAGAGACATAGCTTTTAGTGAGGATGATGACTGCATATTTGGGGTAAAAATGCAGAGGATCCAATTTTGTTTCCTGAATTTGTTCCCAAAAGATTGGCAAATATTGAAATGTTTGCATAAAGGAAATTAAAATCACAATTTTTACTTTAAATTTCAGATGTGCTTACTGTGTTGGCCTCCCAGAGTTTTTATTTTTAAAACCCACATTTAATAATAATAATGTAAAAATATTTGAACTCCAGTATATATGCCTACAATTTGAACTGTAAAACTTCAAAATACATCTGCGTTCAAATCCTGATCTGTAAACATACCATTTTTCATGTTCCTTTAATGTCAGCCTGATGAGAGTGAGCAGCTGCCTCAGCAAGGTGGTGCACCTCGTGTTCTTGAGAGTGATGTGCGTGTGCTGGAGGATGGCTGTGTGGGTGGGTGATCATGTGAGTGTCTGCATGAAACTTTCACATGTGCATGTTTGCTTTTCAGTTCTGAGGGAGAGGTATTTTTTGCTACACTGGGTTTTCTCCACAAGGTTGGATTGAGATTGTGATTGCCAGTACTGTTGCCTCTCAGTATGTCAGGCAAAGGTTTCTTTTGTTGGGGAGCATTCATGGTAATACTGCAGAATTCCCAGTCTCATGCACAGACTTATATTACAGTACTTTATGAACATATCAGTGGGAGCTTCTGAAAAAACAAATGTCAAAGCTATATGCTTGAAAGTATCATAGAATGTAATTTTGTGCAGTTGGTCACAGTCAGATATGTATAACTTTAGATTTGGTTTTTATCCTCAGTAAAGGACTGAGGCATTCATACAGGTGTGTGTGAGAGTCCTTCACTCTGAAAAGTGACTCAGGAGCAAACCTGGGGATGTAATTGTGAGACTGAATTCTGAGTCTGTGAAAAATTCAACACAAGCAAGGGATGCTAAAATAAAAATTGCGAAGTTACCTCTTTTTTTTTTTTTTTTTTTACTTGGGACAGCAAGTTTGGTGGCTTTAGGTATATAATTTTGTGGTTTCATAGTTCAGGACTTGAAAAACTGCACCATGGATTATTGTAGCTTCTCTGTTCTGGCAACTCTGAAACCAAAATCAGCTGGTTTCACTGCTTTTTCATTCTCTAACGGATGAATTCAGAAAAATACTATGGCCTGGCTCATACATGAGTCTGGGCTTAATTAACACAATAGTCCCATCTAATTATCTTGTCCATGAAAGTTAGTAAGACTCTGGTTGGAGCCATGACCACAAAATTATGTAGAAAAATGTGAGCTGTTATTTTATCAATGTGTGGTTTATTTCTGTATAAAGTATGTGAAGAAAGCAGCCTCTAATCTGCTTGAGTAGAGAGGAAAGAGTTGATACCAATAGTTAGGAGAAGCATGGCTTGCAGTCACTGCATATTCAATGAAGTTTGAAATTAAGGACTAGGGACTAAACATTGCCTTTCAATAGAATGGTTTTGCCCTCTCCATGTCTTTTCCCCCAGTTTTCCCTCTCCCCTCCTGATAAATATGATGCATAAGGTACTTACTTTAAAAGTAAGAACCATAGGCAGCAAAGGAAGATCCCTTTGTGAAGTTTGTTTTGCTCATGTGTGTCCCTTATATTTACATAACAGGTTCCTGTGTATAATTTTTTCAGAAAAAATTCATCTGGCATAGCAATAGTTTTCCAGGTTTTTTGCAGAACTGGAACAGATCTTTGGCCATTAAAGCCTTAAGGCAGTTTGGCCAAGTGGTTAACCCTGGGGCTTTCCTCCCACAGTAAAAATAGCTTAAATTTATTAGAATAAACACCAGATACTCTGGTAAGAAAATATGTTGTATATGATACTTCTCAAATGTTTTAAGTAGATGTGGCTCTGTTGAAATCAGCGTTGCTGGGCCAGTTTGAAGCAGCTCAGTATCTGACCAAAACATATTGCAGAATGGCAGATAAAATCTGTTTCTCTCTAGGTCCAGGTTACCTTTTCAGCAGTGCTTCAAGTCAGTTCAATTCTCTTTCCACACAGATTTTTCTGCACTGAAACAGATTAATGTGCAAATTTGCAGTTTATTAGCTGAACTCCCATATGTATCTGACATGTTATTACACAGCACTGTCTAGCTGCATTTCATTTTTCAGTCCCTTGTCATAAATGAATTGACAGTGTTATGGTTGGACAATTTACTTAATATAGAAAGTCTTTATTTTTTTCCAATTTTTATAGGTATCTGTTTCCATATATGTATTTAATTCCTATTTGCAAACTAAAATTGAAGGGTTATAGTAATGTAGCTTCCAGTTTCCAGCACATTTGTCACACATATCTAAAAGGGATTGATTTCATTTCTTTAACTGCATTAGTATGGTTAAAGCAACAAAACTTGTAAACATGAAGTGATCCACAGACACAGTACCTTCCAATAGTGAATTAAATGAGATTTGAAGCTTCTGCACTTGTTTTTTTTTAATTAAAGGGGCAAAGAACCTAAAAAATATGTATAACAATGAAAAACAAAGCATCCACATTGATGCCAGGAATTTGCTTCTGCCTTGGTTTTGGCATCTTTAGAACTGACTGTGTATGAAGTGTACATGACAACTTTAGAAATGATACAAGCAAGTATACAAATACAGGAATTTGAACACAACTCCCTTGAAGTTACATTACAGGTGGTTTTCACAGTAAGATGCATGCATATCTATGTGCATATGTTAAAAAAATACTATTGCAACTGTACAATGGGTGTCATTAAATGTCATGCACATAGGTGGAGAGGAAGCACAATGTCTCTTTTTTTTTTTTTTTTAGATTTTATGGAGTATTTTGCGAGTTTAGAACTTCTACACAGCAACTAATGCAATCACATTAGGGTAGTTGGCCAGGGTGAGCACCAGTCTAGATGGCAGGATTTCTGTGCAACTAGTCTCCATGGAAAATGTTGCTGTTCTCCAGCTGAACTCATTTTTTGCTGCCTGAGAGGCACTTAGCTCCTGTTCAAGAGGCTAATGAAGGACTGACCCTTCATTTCTGCAGCAGCTTACATAGCATCTTCCTTTTTTAGCTAGAGTCCAACTGCAGATCAAGCATCTTCTTAGATATTAGTGGGAAAATACTTCTAGCTGAACTGAAGAACTTAACATTGGAGTAAATAAGCTGTCATTGTACTTGTTACTGCTGCTCATTATTTATATGTATTCTTTAGAAAATGGACTCTTATATGTCCACCATGTTCTGTGTGTTCCTGTGTGCCACAGAGACCCACACTTAACTGTTACACATCCTGAGAAGCGGCAAGATATGACAGTGAGGTTGTGGAGAATTGTATTGTCATGAAGAAGAAAAAAATACTAGTTTTCAGGCTTCTTTTTTTTCTGTAGCAGTCAAAAACTACTTTAGAAATAATTGTAAAATTTTCCATTTGTGGTGATGTTGCAGTAAATGAGCTTTAGGTTATGCTGGTTTGGTTTGATTTCGTTTAACGAGTTGGGGACTTTCTTGGTTTTGGTGTTTTGTTATTTTTTCTCCTCTGTTTGTATGGCAATTGCTCATAGGTTAGTTTTCTTTCCTTGTCTTAGGACTTGAGCTGCAGAAGATACATAGAAATAATGAAATTATGAAAATTGATAGTAAATTAATATTTCTTAAAAATAAATCCTGGGTTTAGTGAAGTAATTGACTATACCCCTTTTTTTTACAGAACGGTTTACACAGTACGGCCCTAAAAACCTTAGACAAGCATGGAATAAGTAAGTATTTTTTTAATTACACTTTTGACTCTTCAAGGGTATACTCAAGTTATCATATCTAACTTAGAATGGCTCTATTCTTTTCAAATTAGCCATATTTGAATTGCCAGTTTCTTGTAAATAGGAAGAAACTGCATAGCATAGTATTTTCTTCTTGGGGGTGTTAGTTGGCAAGTGCACTGAGCTCATGGAGAAATATTGTGTTATTGCTTTGGGCCATCAGTTTTGAATCTTGTTTTCTCTGTTCATCTATAAAAATTAGGAAACTTTGAAATAATATGTTTCTAATCCACTTTTGAGTGTTTTTTCCACATAATGATCCCCTGTTGCCGGGTCCATCTGGTCATTGCTGTGAGCTGCAACCATACTGTTGTAATCTTAATTATGAATGAAAAAAGTCAGTGTAAATTCACCACACTTGTGGGTTTTTTTCCTTTCAATATTTCCTGAATTTGGTCACATTTACATCAGATGGGCATTGGTATAAAGGTGTCATACTCAAAGTCCAGAAAGGTTACCTGATGCGCATTCAGATTGAATACCACACTACTGGCATTACTCTAAATAATCAGCTGTGTAAAGTTTGCTAAAAGATTACTCAGCACATGTAGAATTTTTGTAGACAGGATATTTGAACTGCACTGTCTTCAGAAATTAATAGCTTTTATATTTCGAATACAGCATACAGAGTTTTAATTGGATGATATCAGCTATGTCAATAAACTTGTCATGCCAGAAAACCTGCTCAAATTTTTCTCTACTCTCATTTAACCAAAAGTTTTTCAGCAAGGCTAAGGCTTTACTGTACCAGCATATCTGTTTTCTTTCTGGTACTAATTCAAAATTTTATTTTTGCTACTAACTGGCTGTCTGGTTGGTAATTTACCAGGGAGTTCAAGAGATTAATCAGCAGGAGACTGTAGCATCTCCAAGTTCACCACTGAATTTGAAAATACAAAATGTTTTGGTGAAGAAGCTTCCTTATTGTAAAGGAATAAAAAAGTTATTAATAGAGTAGAAATCAAATGCTTTTTCAATATCCTTATTTATTAGCAATGAAATGTGTCTACAGCTGCAAAATCCATACCATGGTCACTTTTCCAAAGTGTGATTAAGTTTATACTCTGCCATTTGATTCATATTTTCTCTATCTGCTCCTTCCCAAACCTATTTGGTCCAGTGTTTTCATTTTAAAACAATAAACAAACAAAAAACCAAAGCAAACAACAAAAAACACACCAAAAAAAAAACCCAAAACAGCACTCCACCTTTTGAAATTGTGGTTGACAACTGAAGGGGGAATCTCTTAATATAGCAAGATTGTTGTTAAAATTTTTTTGTATTAGTTGTTGAATGCTGTATCATCAATACTTGTACTTTGAGTCAAAACCTGTATTTCTGTAGTGCCAGGCATCTTCCATGACCCTGTGGCTCACTTTGCAGTATCACTGGGTCCTCCTTGGTTAGCAGTAACTTCCCAATTCCTGCAATGAGAAATAAAGCTGGCACTGAAACCAGTTCGGGCCTCCACAAGGTTACGTGTCACTAGCCTGCATTAGTTGACTTTCAATAGTCCACAGAAAAGTTCCTGGCTTGTCCAGTTCAATCTAGGCCCCTAATTTTGTGGTTTTTCTGGACAAGGCCATCTCCTGTAAACTGCAGAGGGAACAACAGGAAGATTAACTCATGTTTGGCTTTTGTAAATACCTCAGACCATTTTGCCAGTTGTGATCCTTCAGGCATCTTAAAATGTTTGACTGTATCTCAATCTTACTGCTTGGAATACAATTCAATTTCCTGAAAGTCACAGCTTTCCTTTTAAAAATTAAATCACTGTAATGGCCTGGATCCTGTCCTATTACAATCAAAAAAATTGTGAGATGATTTTTTGTTTAAAAGTAGTTAATGAAATCCAAAAGCTTGGAAGAAGCAATTATATTACAACATAGGCAGTTAGATCTGGATTGGGAAAGAAGGACAAGGAAACTAATATTGATTTGAATGTGTTTGCTTGGAGGCATATATTTGCCTAAGTATTGTGAATAGATACTGGCATGCTATTCCATCCATCCTGCAGGCTTGGACTGAAGTCTTTTTTCTGTATTTTAACAGCAGTTAGACTATTAAAATACAGCAGTTATATATTAATAAGTACAATAATTGGTTTGAATTTGAAAAGTTGATGTCTTATATTTCCTTTGAGACTACTGCATGAAATTTCTCTTTTCATGAAATACCACAAAAAAAGAACAAAACCCAGTTTCCTTAAAACAGCTTCAGTCTCTGAGATTTCATAATTGACACAAGCTCTGATCACATCACAGGCCGACTCAAATAAGACCAGAGCTTTTTAAATTCAGCGAAACATCTTCAAAAATATTTATACATTTTCAATGCTCTGTACATAAAGAATTTGCAATTTTTCAGCAGAAATGAAGGGATTGAAAGCAATGAGAATACATACAGTTCAGTGCTTCATATGTGTATTGCTATTATAATAGGAAGTATTCAGTGCCTCAAAATTATGTATCATTTACATTCAAAATGTAAAGGTCTGTCTCTCTTTCCAGTGTAAATCTTTATCTGTGTGCTTTATTAGAGTGCTATTTGCTTGCACAGCTGTAGTTAAGGATGTATAAACATTTCCGTTATAGACATCATATTCCCAAGGGTTTGTTATCCAGCTGTAAAACTTAACACATGGATAGACTGATTCATTCCAGAAATTTTCTTTCTTATTTATCATGCTTCAAAAAGCAGCAATCTCCAGTCTTAAATTAAAAAACCTCTTTAACCTCTGCTGATTTAATGTGTGGAAGATTTTTGGTGGCACAAAATATGTCACGTACATAATTCTTTTAAGGACAGTGAACATGAGACCTTAAAATGGGGATGAAAACATACAGCCTTTTGTTTTTAAATATGCATTGATTTGGTACAGATTTCCTTCCTTTCAACATGGTAGTAACTTTTAAAGATACACCTTAAAGAGCAATGTTTTGGTCTTGTGAGGATTTATATGGATGCTTGAACTTCTATTGATGCAAAGTCTCATTACTGCATTTTATAGGGGAGGAATTGCAATGCAAAAAAAAAATTAAGAATTTTCACACAGTAACTGCCATAGAAACTGTAGAGCAGTGACATTGAACTTCATGCTCCTGGATTGGAAGAGAACAGCTTTAATTTTCTAAACACATTTCTAAACATTTCTAAATGAAGTTTCACTATCTCCTGTTTCATCTTTCAGGCACAGGCTGATCCTTGATCTTGTTTATATATTCATTTTGAGGTCATGGCATGTAAGGGTGGGAATATGGGTTTAAAAGCCTTCTAAGACACTTTTACCTCAAAATGTAAGTCAATTTATGTAAGGGGAGTTTAGTGGGAGGAAGAATAACACTCTTGCAGTATCTACAGAGCCAGCTTCATGTCTGTAAGGCCAAAGGAAGAGAGGCAAAAAACTCCAACCCCATACCTTCCCAAACTCACACACAGTATTTTGAGGAAAAAACAGTTGCACCTGACCAACATCAGCTTCTAGGAGGTGATTCTAAAGGCAGAGCAAGATGATGGAAAGATATTGGACACAAGTCAATTGCTGTTTAATTCCTAGTTTAACTGGAAATTATTTAAAAGCATGGAATTTAACGGCAATGACAAAGTGAAACCCAGCAGGATCATAAGTCAGATCCCTTAAATTCTTAAAATATAATTGGTTAATATTATAGGCTACTTTTGGGAAGTGTTTGAGGCAAATAATATAACTTCCACTTACAGTAAATTAAATTCTTTGGAGACTTAAACACTTAATTTCTTTCTTTTTAGTGGTTGTCAAACTACTTAAAGAGTATAGAGAGTATTTACTAAATAAGATGGAATCTATACATTTTATAGTAATGCTTATAAAGTTAAGAAACAAAACTTGCATTGATGTTTGCTTCTATCTAAAATGAAGCTTTACCTACATAGCATGACATAACATACTGTGGAATGTAATTATAAAATACTGGCCTAAAAAGAACTAAGATGTGGTAATCTGATCTTCCTACAGAGTTCACAATGAACTATATTTCCACTTTTTTTCCTGAACTTTTCTGTTCAATTATCTCTACACAATAACAACTAAGAACAGCTCTGCCTCCAGAATGCAATGCAACCTCTTTCAATTTGCAAAAGCTTCTCCACAATAATAAACCCTTACAGAAGAATAACAAAAGAGAACTAATTATCCTTGTGTATATTTGGTAGGATATAAAAAGCTTTTTCAGATCCTTCTGCCATAATGGGTTGTATTGTGAGAAATTAGGTTGCAAAGAAAAGGTGCAGCTGAAAACAAATTCTGCTCTGCATAAATAGGACTACTACTTTGTAATTCCTCGACATGGCTTATTTATTATATAAATAACATTTTATTCTCACAACCAGTCCCACTGCTGAGGATTTCTTCCTTTAACAAGATGGCCTCTGTACTTGAGACCTCCCTTTCTGAGGCCAGAGTGTTTAAAAGTTGCATTCCAGGATGGACTGGCCTGTGTTGGGGCTGTTATTCAGGGAAAACTTCCTCAAGCAAAGGGAGTGAACAGAGACAAGCCCATGTAGCTTTAGTCTCTACTTTGTTTCAAGCATTGCTTCAAGGAATTGCTGAAAGCTGAGACTTGGGAAGCATTTTTGGCTTAAGATTCTGTTGTTTGGGTTTTTAAGAAAATCTTTGCCTTAGTTGGGTTTTGATAAAGAAAAAGCACTCTTCTAATTGTCACTTTTATTCCTTCGCCTCCTGCCCGTTCACCAGCACTGCTCATTGTAACACAGTCGGTAGTACTACTGAAGGAATACTCAAGCTCTCCAGCACAATAGAAACAATAAGCTTTAGTGCTGTGGTTGTGGAAGCCTTTCTGATGGATAAACCCAAGAAGCAATAAGGATTTTGGGCAGTACCGAGCAGAGGTGGGCTGGCTGTGTGCTCTGTGTGCACTGGAGCACATCGCTGGGGTGCTGGG